ACCAGCCCACGCCAGAGCTCCCTGTCGGCCGTCACCACCCCCAGCTCCTTCAAGGTCGGTCCAGTCACTTCAAGGATGCCATCCATCCATCTTGCCCTTGGTCGGCCCCTCTTCCTTTTACCTTCCACTTTCCCCAGCATAATTGTCTTCTCTAGGCTTTCCTGTCTCCTCATGATGTGCCCGAAGTACTTCAACTTTGTCTCTAGTATCCTTCCCTCCAATGAGCAGTCGGGCTTTATTTCCTGGAGGATGGACTGGTTGGATCTTCTCGCAGTCCAAGGCACTCTCAGAACTTTCCTCCAACACCACAGTTCAAAAGCAGCTATCTTCCTTCGCTCAGCCTTCCCTAAGGTCCAACTCTCACATCCGTAGGTTACTACAGGGAATACCATGGCTTTGACTAGGCGGATCTTTGTTGCCAGTGTGATGTCTCTACTCTTTACAATTTTATCTGCCCTCAATTCACAACTAAAGTGCCAAAGTGTCAACCTCATATGGGCCCATTTCAATCTACTTGAGTCCAAAAGCCTGCTTAAAAATCCATGTTTTAGGCTGGATCGGAAGGAGTCAAGGGTGGGGGCTAATCTAATCTCTTTTGGGAGGGTATTCCAGAGCCAGGGAGCCACTACAGAGAAGGCCCCCTCTCTCGTCTCACTTGAGACAGAGGTGGGACTGAGAGGAGACCCTCCTCTGCAGATCTTGGAGCCCACACTGGTTCATAGGGGTAGATATGGTTACGAAGATAGGCTGGACCTGAACAGTGTAGGGCTTTGTAAGTAATGACCTGCACTTTGAATTGGGTCTGGAAACTTATTGGCAGCCAGTGGAGCTGCTTTATTAGGGGCATGGTATACTTCCTGTTGCTAGCTCCCATTAGTAGTCTGGCTGCCGATCTTTGCATCAATTGCATATTCTGAGCCATGTACTGGATGGCCCACAGGGTCTCTTACAAATGATTCTAGTAGTAATGAACATGATGCAGGTTTTGGTAATTTTACATATCATTTGTGTGTTCTGTTTTGTTTTTTATTGAATAAAAATGTATTGGAGAAAAAAACTCCAATAGCGAAAATATCTAACTTGAGACAGTAGACTGCATGGACAGAAGGAACAATTCACTGTTGTTCCAGAGTAGTGCTTTGTTCTGTTTCTGCAGTATTGAGGAATGTTAATTTGATGGATCATAGAGTTGGAAGAGACCTCGTGGGCTGTCCAGTCCAACCCCCTGCCAAGAAGCAGGAAAATTGCATTCAAAGCACCCCCGGCAGATGAGTATCCAGCCTTTGTTGAAAAGCTTCCAAAGAAGGAGCCTTCACCACACTCCAGGGCAAAGAGTTCCAATGCTGAACAGCTCTCACAGTTAGGAAGTTCTTCCTAATGTTCAGGTGGAATCTCCTGTCCTGTAGTTTGAAGCCATTGCTCCGTGTCCTAGTCTTCAGGGCAGCAGAAAACAAGCCTGCTCCCTTCTCCTTATGACTTCCCCTCACATATTTATATATAGCATGGCCATCATATCTACTCTCAGCCTTCTCTTCTGCAGGCTAAACATGCCCATTGATATGAACAGTAGAGAAATAGTCATGGGAATAGAAGTCTGGAAGTCATCAACTTGTGAAAGGCAGAGTGTGTGTGTGTGTTCCCCATAGTAATTAAGGTGACAAATTCCAGAGGAGTAGCTATTATCAGGGCAAAAAACAAAAAGTCTTTTTCAAGTCATAAAGGCATACATATATATTATGACACAGGTTGCCTAGCTGTGTGCTGGGGAATAACTTCATGCTCTTAAGAAATCAATCCTGGTATCCCAAAGCATATATCACACTGTTAATGTACAATGTATGACATGTATAAAAGATAAATGCCAAGGCTGCTAAGCTCTCTACTCCCCCTTCATAAGTCCTTTCATAAATTGTGGATTGATATATTGGGCAGGAAGCCATTGTATTGCAAAGATTCTCTATGGGATTATGGAAATTTGACAGACAATAGTAACTATCATCTATATGGCAAGCCGTCTTGTCGGTAGGGTGAGAAAAGAAGAGTCTGAACTTCTTTTAGTGTTTCAGTAGTAAGCGTGGCTTGGAAATCTTTGTTAAGTCACTTTCCACTGTAGCTGAAAAATGCAAACAGACAACTTACAAAGAATACTTACTTGAGAATCAGCCCAGTTGAAAGGTGCAATATCACCACAGGCTTTGTGTGTGCAGAACAAAATGTCCAATGAAAAATGTTATCACATCTATTCATTATCTGCATTAGTAAAGTACTGGATATATATGAATGTAAGCTATGAACCCATTGATTATTTTGATTTGAAAGATTAATTTCTTAAATGGAGATTTATGAGCAACTTCTAACAGTTTGTTAGCCTCTGATGACAATATATATAGCATAAGAGTGCATCTTTAAATGGCCCTGGGCCCTTTTTAAAGCACATAACTTCCATTCCTCGAAAAAACACTTTTTGAGATAGAACTATTGTTGCTTTGGGAGGTTTATTTGGAGTTTTGTAATGGTTTGTTGCTGATGTTGTTAATTGCTGTCAAGCTGATTTTGACTCTAATTTAATTTTCCTGTTTTCCTACTGTGTTGTATCTTATCAAGTATATATATTTTCCTAATAAATCATGGCTTCTTGAAATATGTTTAGAGTACAACAATCCCATTTTAGTCATCTGGATTTGAGAGAAAGAATTCAGACACAGAGCCATAAACTTCTGTTAGCCTCCTTCCCTTTCTGAGAGAAGCAACAGAGGTCTGGCTATACTTCTTCCTCTGAGAAAAAAAAATCTAACTCCTTTCTCAGGGGAGAGAAATACAGATGGACTTCTACCACTTCTCTCTTCAGAGGAAGAAGACAGATTCCTTTCTCAGGGGAGAGAACTGCAGAAGGCCATTTCTCCCCAAAGAGGAAGAAGACATAATGGACTTTGATAGTTTCTCATTGCAGACGAAGGAGATGGAAACTTTTCTTGGCAAGGGAGGTATATGGCTCCACAGAGCTGGGCCTCCTGCCAGATTTGGCACCCAGGCTGCTTTTGGGGATTTAGTGTGAGCAGATTGCACCCCAAAATGTGAGTTCTCCCTTCTGTTACTCTTCCTTCTGTTGGACAGCAGGTATGTGGGTGAGTGGGGGAATATTTTGACACTGTGCTGTACTGTATTTTCAACTTTCAGCAGCATTGTGGCTGTAGAGAAAGGTTCCAGATATTATGTGAAAATCATATTGCACAAAGGGTCCCAGAATGGATCTCTTGCATAATATGTAGGCTTATTCTATCACAATGCACTGTCATTGTGGTGGTAGCACATTGTGGTGGTCCTGTGAATAATAACAATGTTGGTGGCCTGGCATTCATCCAAAGAGCATCACTATTGCTTCTTATTGGAGGTAGCTCACTCCTCTTTTCATGTAAGACGTATTCATCTGCTTCTGCAGTTTGCATGAACATAAAGGAGGAGACAATATGGGAGGGACAGGATGGGACTATACCTTCCACAGAAAGGATGGGAAGGGCAAACCAACATTTGCCTGACATCAGGTAAGACAGGGTATGGGTCCTGTTCTATCCAAAAATAAACAACAGGTGTGTGTTTGCGAAACTGCAGCAGATAATGCCTAGTTGGCATGTGACTATTTTTGACATAATTTCTCCAAAGGCTTCCTCCCTATTGAGCTGTCTGTCTGAGAGTAAAATGTGGGTTATGTTGCATATTAATGAATTGGTTAGCTGGGAATGAGACAGATGTCTGTGGCTGCCTGCCATGGCCATCCAAGACCTACAAGTGTTGCTTGATTGCCTGTGTGCTAAATAACCACATGGACCCGGCACAATGCCTGATGTATACACATGGCCGCTCACATAGAGTGCTGATATGAGAGATCAGGGTATCAACTGTTTGATGCTCCTTCCTTATCCCTTATTATAACTATATGATCTGATTGGTTTCTGCCTTTTAATTATTTCGCGCAACCCATCTGTTGGGAATATTGGAAGTGGATAGGCAGGGTTCTGACGACTTATATATAGGGTTACCAGAGTGAACACTATAGACAGCTCCTGTATCTCTAATGCTTGTGTGGAAGAGTGAATTTCACCAGGTGTTGCCGATTACTGGGTTGTGTATAAAGCACCATCTGCTTAAATTCCCTCTTCTTCACAACCATTATAGTTTTCACTCTTACTTACTTACTTACTTACTTACTTAGGCAATCCCTCATTGTCTGAATAAGATTTTCCTCCAAATTCATTGTACTGGCGGTGGGTATGTAGGTGACTGCAGTGAGGGTTTCCAAGTGGAAGGCGATCCCCATCTGGATTGGCTTGACACGCCTTCCTCTTACCATGTTTCTCTCTTTGCCCTCCATTCATGCCTCTTCAAATTCTACAGCACTACTGGCCACAGCTGACTTCCAGCTGGAGCACTCAAGGGCCAGGGCTTCCCAGTTCTGAGTGTCTATGCCAGAGTTTTTAATGTTGGCTTTGAGTCCATCTTTAAATCTCTTTTCCTGCCCTCCGACATTCCATTTTCCGTTCTTGAGTTCAGAGTAGAGCAACTGCTTTGGGAGATGGTGGTCAGGCATTCTGACAACATGGCCGGTCCACAGCGGATGGCGGAGGACCATGGCTTCAATACTGGTGGTCTTTGCTTCCTCCAGCATGCTGACATTTGTCCGCCTGTCTTCCCAAGAGATTTGCAGGATTTTTTTTGGAGGCAATGCTGACGGAATCGTTCCAGGAGTTGTATGTGACGTCTGTAGATAGTCCACGTTTTGCAGGCATATAACAAGGTTGGGAGGACAATAGCTTTATAAATAAGCACCTTGGTATCCCAATGGATGTCCTGGTCCTCAAACACTCTGTGCTTCATTCAGAAAAATGCCTCACTCACTCTAGCAGCTTTAAATACCTTTGTTTTATAATATACTGTAGCAATGGTGATGGTAGTGATGATTATGTTTATGTTGATATTAATAGTATGCTTATTTCTCTACACAGCCATGCAGCAGGTCCTGGACAACCTCAGTGACCTCCCCAATTCTATGGGAGCTGGAGATTTGGATCTCATCTTTCTCCGTGGCCTCATGGAGAGTCCAATAGTAAGATCATTGGCTAAGGTACAGTTAAATGGGGTAGTTGGTCATGGGACAGTAGCTGAGCAGAACCTCCATCTTCAGATCCACCCACTTCACTACATTGCTTACTCCTTCTTAATCCTCTCTTTAATAAACCAAATATCTTAGCTGACTGACCTCTTACTTTATACTCTTTCTTTTCGACTTCTCTTGGAAGGAGTTGTTTTTCTGTCACTCCTTTCTGGAGACCACCATGTGATGTCCTGGGTAATATTTGCTGTATAGCTCCCCAGGCTTTGTTTGCAGAAAGGCCCACCAAAGTTGAGCTGAAGATGGATTTGTCAGTGACTGGAAAGTAAGAAGTAATAACAAAGAAGGGAAAGACTTTGGGCATGGGCAGAAGACATTTCATAGAACCAGTGCTTGAAGAATCTTAATGGGCTGTCCATTTGATTTAAGATACTGGCAAAAGGAGGCATGTTTTGTTTTATGCATCCCCAAGAACTAATCTCAAATTATGGAGCTACTTCTCCCACTGGATTGCTCCATTACGTATGTGCCACCGTGCATAAGAAACTCCTTACTACTATTTTTTCACATCAAATGTTAAAACCCAGACTTTCCCAACCTAACACCATTCAGATGAACCATTGACCTTGCTAGCTGGTCATGATGAGGATTGTGATCTAACACATTTCAAGGTTCCCGAGTAGAGAAATACTATTTAGGACCGTTGCTTCTGTCTGCCATCCCTTCATAACAAGAACATTTAAACATACTTAAATGTTCCACAGCATATCTCATTCTTAAGGAGCAAAGTATGTTTCCCTATAGCTGTGTGTGTTTTATTACAGAACACAGACTGCTTCTGGATTGAGTTTCCTTAAATTGTGTTTAGTCTGGTCTTTTTTTAGTGTATCTGTGATCCATATCTGTTTTACATGTATTTAATTTTCAGTCTTTGTCCAATGTCTGCATTAACACCACATATAAATTCGCATGGATTGGAAGTTATGAGTTACTATAATCAGCCCCATCATACAAACACACATTCTTATCACTGTCATCCAAACTTTTGGAACCCTTTAACATATGCATTTTTGTACAAGTATTTCCTTAGTATAGATGCTCTCATCCTGCTTCTCCTAAAGTATGGTTTTAGGATGCTACTTTCTCTAACACATGCCTGATTTTTATACAGGTTTTCCTAATATATACATTTCTGAAAGCATATTATGTTTTTGCACTATGAACCGAACTGTAAAATTTGGAAAAGCATGAAGTCTGAAAGATAGCTGTGTTCCAATAGATATTAGTACAAGAGCTGAATCAGTTTATTCAAAATTCTGGATTAAGCAAAATTTGCCCCATTTCTGGTTTGATCGGTTTATTGAGCTTTGATAACCTCAATAATTTCTGCTTTTTTCTTTTTTCAATATTACTGATTTGATTTACGATACCATTTCAGCTAGAGTTCACCATGATAAACAGTACATTGAAGCAATATTCATTCCACTTTCTGTTTTCCAGATTTTGTTGTGTTATAACCTTACCTAAAACTAAAATGGATTTGATAGGCATTGTTACCACTTAATGTGCCCCTTGCTACATTTTGTCTCTTGTGTACATCATATGGTAACAATATAATTAAATCCATTTTAATTCAAGGTAATAACATGAAAAAAGGAGAAAATATGAAAGGTTTACTAAAAAAAATCTGAATTCTTTTGCAAGGCTTTATAACTCCCTTTTTCCAGTATAGGACACAGCTCTAGGGCATGGATACTAAGTGTGTGGGAATGGGATTAGCTATTCATTGCTAATCAAGGTGATCAGTTGCAGCATTCACACTTGCCTTCAACAGACAAGAGTTCTTTCCTCCATCCTGGACATTCGACAGATATATAAACACCACTTGCCTAGCTTCCAACAGACCTCACGATCTCTGAGGATGCCTGCCATAGATGTGGGCAATACGTCAGGAGAGAATGCTTCTGGAACATGGCCATACAGCCTGGAAAACTCACAGCAACCTTGAGCAAATTTCACATAGATTTGCCTCCTGGAGAAGGAAATCCACGCTCTTTTAAAATAGTTTTGTGATTCTTTTTAAATAGTTTTGATATTTAGATGATTGTACATATGCAATAACATGTATAATTTGGTATGTGTCACTGCTTGCTATCAAACAGTGACACATACCAGTTACCATTATGAGTTCCAACCCAGGATATTTGAGTGTCCAAAACAATGAACAAAAGTGTGTCATTTGTCCATTCTATATAGCACGGAAGATTCAGCCTTTCAGGCATTGTCGGACTATAATTCTCAGTCTTCCTCCCAAATTGGCTATACCGATTAGAGACGATGGGACTTGGAGTCCAACAACATCTAGTTCAGTCATTCTCAACCAGTTTACCAGCTGTTAGGATTTCTGTGAGTTGAAGGTCAAAACATCTGGGGACCCACAGGTTGAGAACCACTGATCTAGTTGCCTACATGATTCCCAACTTTGCCATAAACTGGAAGTCACTGTACAGACAATTAGACATTTCTTTAGTACTATTGATGGAATAACCATCCTTCATCCTAACAGAAGATGGCAGGTGAATTGACAGATGGTTCAGAACAATCTGTGTGGTACGTACAACTCTGCCTTTCACTAGAGAACCACTACACTATCAGACAGGCGCCCTCCCTTATGGCTTTCCGTAAGAGCCTAAAGACCTGGCTATTTGAGAAGGCATTTAACTGAGTGCTACATTAACTGGTAATGACATCTGGAACGGAATATGGATTATGAGATTGGTTATGATTCTATGTAGTGATGGTGCGGATTAGTTAGTGTAATTTAGATTAGTGTGTATTATTGATATTTCATTGTGCTATTGCTTTATTGTAAACTGTTTTTATATGTTGTACACCGCCGTGAGTCGCCCTAGGGCTGAGACGGCGGTCAACAAATGCAGCAAATAAATAAATAAAATAAATAAATATGGGTAAGAAATTGCTACTGCCATAAGTTATCAACATCTACCATCTAAGGCAGGCATGGGCAAACTTTGGCCCTTCAGGTGTTTTGGACTTCAACTCCCTCAATTCCAACAGCTGGCAGGCTCTTAGGAATTGTGGAAGTCCAAAACACCTAGAGGGCCAAAGTTTGCCCATGCCTGAAGGCATTTACCTAATATACCAAAACATAGAGTCAGTCTGATGATTTCATTCTTTCCTATCACAAGGTTGAGATTTTTTGTTTAACGTTCCCCCCTCCCCGTAGCATATCAACTGTTCCCCGGTGAGTTTACTGTTACATGATTTTTTGTACTATCTCTTATTCCCTGCTTGTTGTTTGTACTCTTTCATTTTTTTGTTTCTTCACTGTGTTTATTGATTTTCCTCCATTTTAAGTAACCTAGAATAATTCAAATTGTGGGAGGTTTTTTTCCCATGTCAGGAGCAACTTGAGAAACTGCAAGTTGCTTCCGGTGTGAGAGAATTGGCCATCTGCAAGGACGTTGCCCAGGGGATGCCCAAATATTTTACCATCCTGTAGGAGGCTTCTCTCATGTCCCCACATGGAAAGCTGGAGGTGACAGATGAGAGCTCACCCTGCTCCCTGGGTAGCGATGAGCATGACCTCCCTTAGGATTTGCTAAACACTTCCCCTTTGGATTTTCTGTAAAATGCAGCATTTCATCAAGCCTGCTAATGATGACTTTTTGGTTTTCAGTGGTCACTTACTGACCCCGCATATGTCTTTCTTGTGAAATACAATATACAAATAAATTTCACAGTAGTTGTCCATTTGCCCAATAGGTAGGCAACCCTTTTTTTGTTGAGGAAGTGAAAATGAGCAAGAACTTTCCATCCATCTCTGCCCCAAAGTTTTGGAAAAGTTACTTGCTTGGATTTTATCTCCACAGCCTGGGAAATTGGAGAGTTGCAGTACCCCAAACCTTTCAAAACTTTGAATCCAACTTACTTATGTCCCAGCTTTTATGGACCATGGTATAAGATTATGTAAGTTGCAGCTTGGCACATATGAAAAGCACAAGAGGTACCATCCTTTTATTAAACAAATTTGATAAAATGGATCAATACTTGGTGTGGGGAGTTGCACTTATTTGATCTGTATGACAAAGCTGTAGGAGGAACACATAGAAATAGTAGAAGGCTCTGCTTCACCCTTTCACTGTCACTATTTTTTAAACCATCCATAAGCATGTTTTTTTATTGAAAGGGAAAAGATACAGTGAGTTCCCTCAACGCTCCCTCTCCAATAACACACAGATAAAGAAACAATTTGAGATAGAAGTGTGAGGAAGGTGATCTGGGAAAAAGGAAGGGAAATATTAAGCAACCCTTTCTTGCTGTATCTCTGATACTGATCACTGCTCCTAAAAGCTCTTCTACCCACTCATTAAACACACACACGTACACAAATGTGCCTTGTTTAGATGGGCTTGAATCGTTCATATGAACCCAGCTAAAGATGTAGCACAATATGACTCTTAAGAGTCCCATAGATACCTGGAACTATGAATAATAGTGAGCCCTATATTTTTACTATTCTTGGGATGACACTAGAGGACCTAGAGATACCCATAATTACTTGGGGAAGGATTTTTTTTTTGGAGCAAGGATAAGTGAAACTTTAGATATGGAGTTTTGAACAAGGAATTGCATTGTACATTTCCTAACTGGGGGTTTAAAATATACATCTTGCAAATCCAATCTGTAGAGTACTGAGGTCCAGGAAAGGGAATTCCCAGATGACTAAAGAAGAGAAATATACAAATTTCCTGCCAAAGATGTTAGTATAATAGCATCCGACATCTGTATTTTCCAGTGCTAGCTCCAGCAATGAAAATGGGTTGCAGAAGTAAGACCTGACTCATATAAAGCCTCTTTTCCTTCTATTTTCTTACCCCAGAGGGTACCGCTGAGATTCTATTTGAGAGGCTATTATTTTTAGCTCCTTTTCTTTTGTAGCAGTGTCTCGCTCCTTGAGGCTCATCCAGAGCAGCGATTCATCTTTCGAAGAGCAAAGACCTGTTTGATTTCTGGCAGCACTCTATGAAAGGCCAGGGAAAGCACTGTTTTATTTGAGTATGCACCTTACTTGGGAGTCTCGTGTCTTTGTCTCTGTGTGTATGTGTGTGATGTTTTGAATCTATTCTCTTCATGCTGTCCATCTCACCCTCGTCCTTTTCCCTGTCTTTTTGGAAAGACTCAACAAATTTGCCCAGCTTAGCAGATGCCTGGGGGTTGATCCTGTTTAATGTGCAGATGTATGCGTCAGATGCTTTTAATTTCTTTTTTTAAACTTGGAGGTCACATTCTTAGGGACTCCACGGGAACACCCAAGCCTTCATTATTATCTCCAGCCTCCCTGCTTACAAATGTGAGCCAGTGTTGGAAGGATGACCGGGTTAGCCAGCCTTTGTTTGTTTATATGTGCCTCTAATCCCCCCTCCTCACCCTCTCACCACCCTCCCTTTTTCCCCTCCAGGCTCATGAGCGGCTGGAGGAGACAAAGCTGGAGGCCGTGAGGGACAACAATTTGGAGCTGGTCCAGGAGATCCTGAAAGACATCACTCGCATTGCTCAGCAAGACAGTACGGCGGCAGAACTGGCTCGCATCCTCCAGGAACCTCACTTCCAGGTAGAAAACAAGCCGAGGGGTGGGCAAGTGGGAGGGGATGGGATTTCTGTGGATAATTTATGCCACCTTTATGGAGAAAACTGGAGCTCCCTTGGGGTCTTCTTGGCATTTACCTGTCAGAGAGCGAGAGAACAGAAGGTAAAAGCAAGCCTGGTGAAATCATGTTGTGTATATGAGAGATGAAAAAAATAGAGTGGGGTGTGCCAATATGTGCATCATTGAATGACTTCGTTGACTGTTTATTGACAAGGCATTTGTCCTACTCCACAATAGGTTTGGGGGGCAACTTAGGCTTTGTTAGTGGACTTCTTTTGGCACCATGGTGAGCTATTCTTGTTTGAAAAACTGTCCTTACAGTGTGGGATTTATTTGAGCTCTGCACATGCCACCCCTCCCTTTTGGGTGGGATGGGGATTTGTGCCAATATTAGAGATCCGGAACATCTGGTTTATGCTATAAATTAGTTACATTGCCTTTCTGTTCACCTTTTCCAACAAGGAACTATGGGTTTTCCCATTTAGGCCATTTGCCTTATGCATATATGCTTGACTTCAGCAAAGTTTTTGGATCATACAACTTTGAACTATGTCACATATATAGAAACTATTGGTGCTTTTATTTTGGTGTTTTTGTGGGTGTTTTTTTTTGGGAGAGAGAGAGATTGGTTGTTGAAAACAGATAATACAGAATTCTCTTCTTATAATGTTGTGTCTATTTTAGATTATTTAATAGGGTTATACTTTTTTAAAAAATAATCTTAACCTGTTTTAAGCCTTTAGACTATATATATATATGGTATTTTTATATATATTTTAATGTGAATATATATATATATGGTATTTTTATATAATCCTGCCGGCCTCAACTTTGCGTAGTCATGGGTGAAAAATGAATTTGATTTAATGTGAATTTTTTTTACTAAATTTGCATTTGCTGGAACTACAGAATGTAGTTTATCACTGAAGTGCATACATTTCAGATGTGTTCTAGTACAAAGTCGCAGTAAGGGGAGGAAGAAGAGAAAGAGGAATACAGGGGTATTTTGAGATACACAAAAATAATCCAAAATTGGAGGGGGGGGGGGGTAATTGAAACAAAAATCTGGTTTGATGTGAGTTTTCCAGGCTGTATGGCCATGTTCCAGAAGCATTCTCTCTTGATGTTTCACCTGCATCTATGGCAGGCATCCTCAGACCCCACAACTTCTGAGGATGCCTGCCATAGATGCAGGCAAAACGTCAGGAGGGAATGCTTCTGGAACATGGCGATACAGCCCGGAAAACTCACAACAAACCAGTGATTCCAGCCATGAAAGCCTTCAACAATACATGAAGCAAAAATCTTTTAGGAAAATTGTGTAAAAAGACTTTTTTACACAATTTGTACTCACCAGGTGTACTTAAGCTTGGTTTTTATAATATGCCAAAATAAACTTTATTCATTCAGGCCATTGTATTTCTTATTATAATGTATGGGTATAACAGGTGAATAGTGAAGAAAGCCGACGAGGAACAAAATCAGCTCTCTTGAAATGTGGTTACAATTGGAATGTTTAAAAGTAAATGAATGGGTATTGTAGCAAATCAAGCCCGAAGCAAAGATTACTAAACTGTAGCTGTTGGACTTTGTGCATATCATGAGATTGTGTGACTCATTAGAAGGGATAATAATGCTTTGTAAAGTGGAGGAAAGTAGGAAAAGCTGAAAACCACACTACAGATAGAATTATTTCGTTTAAGGAATGCATGATCCTAAGTTTGCAAGACCTGAGCAGGACAGGTAATGATTGGAGGTCTCTTATTAAGAGATCTGTCATAAGTCAAAGTTGACTTGTTGGCTTACTGACCTTTGCCGTAATAGGTGAAATTTTCAGATATTGGTCTGGAGTTTAATGTATAGGATTTTAAGAAGGGTTTTGCAGAAATTTAGCTTTGATACTTTGATACTTTAGTTTATATAAGAAAAGGAGAGGGAGGGCATGTATCAAGTCTAACTAGGGAATCTAATTTATTTGCAAATAGTTATAAAACAGCTATATCTGAGGAGTTCAAGTTGATGTACAGCAATGATTTCTGTGTGTGTGAGTGTCAGGAGCAACTTGAGAAACTGCAAGTCGCTTCTGGTGTGAGAGAATTGGCCATCTGCAAAGATGTTTCCCAGGGGACGCCCAGATATATTGATCTTTTACCATTCTTGCAGGAGGCTTCTCTCATATCCCCACATGAGAAGCTGGAGCTGACAGAGGGAGTTCATCCACGCTCTCCCTAGATTCCAACCTCCGACCTTTTGGCCTTCAGTACTACCAGCACAAGGGTTTAACCCACTGCGCCACCAGGGGCTCCTTACAGCAATGATAATATATACAGTATAAAACAATATAATACATTGCTATACAGTAATATTATCCAGAAATACCATACTAAACTGACCTGTGCTATGAAGGTTCACTGAAATTAGTCTGTACATCTAAACATAAGAGTGTGTCATCACTAGAAGGACCTTGCCATCTGTCTTTAAGGACTGAAAGAGAGTCTCCCAGGCTGTCCAGTTCTAGGTTGTCCATGAGGAATTCCACATTCAATTTTTTATGTAATCTGCCTTGGATCTCTGCTTGATCAACCCTGTTTTTGTTGTTGTTTCATCTTCACTTTCATTCCCTGCTGGACCAACTTCACAGTCCCTCTTGGAAACCCACGATTCTGTTGCCTCCAAGAGCTACGAGACTCCTCCACCCAGCCCCATCCTGGACCCCATGTTCAACAACCAGCCTGTGCCCCCAGATGCTGTGCGCATGGTGGGGATTCGTAAGACTGCTGGAGAACACCTGGTGAGAAAACACTCTCTCTCATTGGCATGGCTACATTTTGATTTTGAGACCTGTGTTTAGTAAATCTGATGTTTGGTTCTAGGACTATACTGTGGATAACAACATTCACAGATCCTCATATCCCATCATCCACAGTGGTGTAGTAAAATGGCGTCCTTTATGGAAAATGGCAAAATCAAGGCTTGCATATGGGTTTTTGTTTTGTTAAATTCAAGCTGTGGATGATTGAATCCATGGGTGGAGAAGGGCTGAGTGTAAAGTCAGTACATATGAAGTTCCATTAATATATCCTTTAAGAACCATAATTCAGTCTGGACACACCTGCTAGAAGAGACTGATCTTTATTGCTAATTTAAATACAGACAACATCATAAATTGATGAAACTTCTCTGGCAAGTCATTCCGGAGTCTGAGAGCAACCACAAAAAATGGCCTTTGGTTAATAGCCAGTCTGGTTTTGGCTCACTTAAGTAGATGAGATGTCTCCCAAAGGACCTGAGTATATGGAGTAGGTCATATGGGAGAAGACAATCCTGTAGATAACATAGACCCAAACCATATAGGTCCTCAAAGGCAATAATTTTGTATATATCCAAATTAATGAAAAAATATTCTTCTGATGGTCTGGAAGGATGACGGGGAACCTTCCCTCTGTATGTGTGTGTCAGGAGTGATTTGAGAAACTGCAAGTCGCTTCTGGTGTCAGAGCATTGGCTGTCTGCAAGGATGTTGCACAAGGGAAGGCTGGATGTTTTGATGTTTTACTATCCTTGTGGGAGGCTTCTCTCATGTCCCTGCATGGGGAGCTGGAGCTGACAGAGTGAGCTCAGCCACGCTCTTCCTGGACTTGAACCTCCAACTCCTGCTGGCACAAGGGTTTAACCCGTCGTGCCACTGGGGGCTCCTATTCTCCCTATGAGAATGCTAGGCAGACTCCCAATCACAGGTAGTTATGAATAGTCGGTGACTCATATGCTCTTTTTTTTGTCCTCCAGGGTGTTACGTTCCGGGTGGAGCGTGGCGAGCTGGTCATTGCCCGCATCCTGCATGGTGGCATGATAGACCAGCAAGGGCTGCTGCACGTGGGTGACATCATCAAGGAGGTGAATGGGCAGGAAGTGGGCAGTGACCCTCGGGCACTCCAGGAGGTGCTCAAAAATGCCAGTGGAAGCGTCGTGCTCAAAATCCTGCCCAGTTACCAGGAGCCACACCCACCACGCCAGGTAGGATACATCTTCCCTTGCGTAGCTAATTGCAAGCCCTTTTCTGACTAGAGCAAAAGTTGAACATATTTCTGCAATTATGATAGAAATAACATTTTAAAAAATCTATCTAATTTTCTTCGTTGAGAGTGGGCAACACATGTGTCACAGGTGGCAATTTGTGCAGCTTCCTTATTCTTTGTTCTCCTTCTTTCTTTCTTCACTTTGCTTTTTCAAAAATATTAATATATTGTTAAGATTAGAATTGGCATGTCAGCCAGTTAAAGAGTCTTTAATTGATTCATCATTTGCCCTTTAATAAGTGTTCATTGCACCTTAATGTCAGTATTGGTGCCCTTTTCAGGTATTGAAGGTGCCCAAGGATAACCTTCAGTGTAATAATGTAAACTATTTCTCACTGTCAAAGAGGAAGACCGATCATTTTGTCTTCCTGCATGGTGACACTTGCTAAGGGTTGAGATATCCCTCCAAAAATAAACAAGTCTGCCCTTAATTTGCAACTCCCTCCATTTTCAATTAATCAGTACAATCTTGAGTTAATGGAGCTCCTGATTAAACCAATTAAGGTTTGCAGCTCTAAAAGGGAAAAGGTATTTCCCAATTTGCATAGCTAAACCCATTGGGGTTTTGGACATACATCGAAGTTCAATCTGTGGGGAATCTCCGGGGAAGAAAACAGACCAAATTGCCTTTCTTTGTGCCCTTGACATCTGTATGTTGCTTCGATGATCTCCTGTTCATGATTGACATTGACAGATGAGCCACAGTCAAAGCCATCTGGAGAAGGACTGGCAGTCCCGACTGGGGAGGGGTGGGGAGTGTTGACTATAGGGCATGGCAGACGGATAACAGTGTGGAAGGAGGTGGAAATCGAGAGTCAGCACCTTGGTCAGCACCCCACAGATGCCCCACAGATATAACTGCACTGGGCTAGAGCTGCCTATGCTGAGAAACTGAAGGTATTGCTCCAGCCTGATTGGAGTGAAAGCTAAACAGTCCACATGTTTATATCATAAGCCATATCTCTATGGAAGAGATATGTCCTGAACTGGTGATGCTCTTTACCTGGGCAGTGGCAAAGTGATGGTGTCTGTAAATCTTTCCACTTCTCAGTTAAACCTTCTTTAAAGTGATAAAACTTTGCTTTGGAATTGCAAACCAAGTGCATTGGCATGCTCTACTTAAAAAGACAATGATGCTTTGGTAATGTAGAAGGCAATAAGAAAAGAAGAGGATCACATTACAGGTAGATAAACTCAATCAAGAAAGCAGTGACCCTGCTGCTGCAATATATGAGCAGGTCTGTTGAGGGTAGGGTGACTTAGAGGTCACCCATTCATAGGGTCACCTTAAGTTGAAGTTGACTCGATGGCAACTAACAACAACACAGCATATTCTCACAATCCATAGTATGTAACCTGGCTTCTACAAATGTTGCTGGTGTGCATCTCTTGTCACCTTTATCAGAATACCCAATGGGGAGGGATATGTAGAAATTCCAGTCTAATAAGTTATGGAGAGCAACAATGTAGTCTGACAACATTTGAAGGGTGGCATTCCCAACCCTGCCTCAAATGTATATTTTGAGACTACGATTAAAAAACAAGAGCAACACAGATTATTGTTCAAATGGAACACCATGGAATGATGGATCAAAATATAGGAAGGTAACACACCAGAGATTGGCAGATGTGTTATTTTCTAACTATTATAACTCCTCATCGTTTGACAGGTTCTGAATAGGGAAGAGAGTAATATTTGAGGTCTCAGTCTCAGTGTCTCCTTCAAATCGGTCCCTCTTCAGCTGAGCCGCTTTTTTGTTCTGCTCCATTGCACCCATTGCCTTCTTTGCATCATGCAAAAAGGTTCAAAAGTGAGTTAATGCTTGGGTGCTTTGGGCAAAGTGGCGTAAGAATTTAATAAGCAGATGTCAACTCGATTATGAGTGGCCCACTAACATTTCCATGAGCTTGGGAAGGCTTATATACTTCTCATATATTCCTGTGGTAACCTGGTTCAGGGTGAGCCCCAAATCTCTATGAGCAAATTCACATTCTCGAGTCAAGAGCTATTACCTAGCCATTTCTTTTGGGCTTGAACCTGTCTGGCCTTTTCCCCCTGAGAAATATCCATGCGGTTCTGTCTTCTCCAGATTCACAATCTTTAGGTGTACTCAAGAAGCATTAAAAAGGTAACTTGTTTCTTAAGCAGGGCAAATGGTTTTGCTTGTCAATGTGATGGATAAAAGGCCCTCCCTTTCCCATTCTGTGGGATGGAAACTGTCTGGACTGGCAGTGGAGTTTTCTTTGTCTGCTCAAATGTATGCACTTACTGGGTTGAATGGCTTAACGTCACTGGTTAACAATAAGTGAAATGAAAGTATACAATAAATTGAGTGAAAGTGTAATTCCAAAAGTCCTCCCAAATTTTAAAGGGGAAAATAAATAAACCCATTTAAGTAACTAGGGATGCTTGAGGAATCATCGAATCATTGGAATTAGACTTTGGAATTTGGGAATGCCACCCAAACTCACATAATAAGCACATTGGAACATCATTGTCTTCCTGATTTTACACTTCTGCAATATTTATAACACCATTATTGGTAGTTCAAAACAAACAGAACCAGGCTCTGTATCTGCAGGACCAGTATCAGCAGTTTCATTTATTCACTTCCAAAAAAACATGGCCTCTCTGGATATTTTCTAGGCCCTCCAGTATGGCTCTATTAACAGTGTTTCTCAACCTTTTTAATGCTGCGATCCCTTAATGCCAGTTTTTCCTGTTGTGGTGAACTCTAACCATAAGATTATTTTCATTGCTACTTCATAATTGTAATTTTGCAACTGGTATGAATCATAATGTAAATATCTGATATGCAGGATGTATTTTCATTCACTGGACCAAATTTGGCACAAATACCTGATATGCTAAAATTTGAATACTGGTGGGGTTGTAGTGGGGATTGATTTTGTCATTTGGGAGTTGTAGTTGCTGGGATTTATAGTTAAACTACCACCAAAGAGCATTCTGAACCCCACCAATGAGGGAATTGAACTTGGCACACAGAACTCCCATGACCAACAGAAAACACTAGAAGTGTGTGGTGGGCATTGACCTTGAGTTTTGGGGTTGTAGTTCACCTACATCCAGAGAGCACTGTGGACTCAAACAATGATGGATCTGGACCAAACTTGGCACGAATACTCAATATGTCCAACTGTGAACACTGGTGGAGTTTGAGGGAAATAGACCTTGACATTTGAGAGTTGTAGTTGCTGGGATTTATAGTTCACCTACAATCAAAGAGCATTCTGAACCCCATCAATGATAGAATTGGGCCAAACTTCCCACACAGAATCCCCATGACCAACTGAAAATACTGTTTTTTCTGATGGTCTTTGGTGAAAATTTTGAGTGAAAATATGTTAGGAAATGTTTATTTACAAAATTCAAATTTGTGATATTTTGTAAACATTAAACATGCCATTTAGCGCAGGATGGAGCGGCTTATGAGCCGATATGTGCAAAGTGACACAGACCAGAAGTGGACTCATTTGCTCATTCCTAGCTGTATTCTCCTGCCAATGATCATCAGCCAAGGCCTCTCACTGTATAATTACACATTGCTGAGGGCTCTGATTTAATAGATGTACACTTAATTTGTTTGCCCTGCTTCATTCTGCCCTTCACTGACTTCAAAAGCGATTCCAAAATATTATCATAGTTCTTAATTCAAGATACATATTAAAAGCACGCCAGTAGTTAAGAATATAGCATGGTAACTGCATAGCACGATTCTGTTTATGTGCATGCATTTAGCTACATATACATTCGGAGTGAGATGGATTCGTCCTTCTCTTTTTGCAGGAAAGGGAAGAAAATGTTGAAGAATTATTCTAGTAGTTGATAGAAATAACACTTTAAAAGCCATATCTTAAAGGCTAGCATAGGGACATTGATTCAGCGGAGGCTGCAATTGTTCTTGGTAGGAAGAACAGAAGAACTGCCTTATTGGATCTGACTTTAAGAAACCTGTTCTGGATCTAGCCCATCATTCTGTTCCTATTGTGATCATACTAGGGAGCTTACAGAAAACCCCTCAAATAACACAAATACAGCAAAATCCTTGTATTCCCCCAACAAACTGTTCAAGAAAAGCATGCTGCCTCTAGTATAGAAATAGCATATAGTTAGAACTTAGAAAATATATGTTTGGGGGCTTCAATTTCAAGAAACCCTAATTAGCATGGCTTAGGATTGGGAAATGCTGGAAATTTGGGTAGTGTTCCCCAACCAATTGTTCAGGAAAAAGCATGCTTCCTCTAATCTTGAAATACCATATAGTTAGAACTTAAAATATATATGTTTGGAGGCTTAAACTCCCAAAATCCCGAATTACTATGGCTCAGGACTGGGAAATGCGGGAAATGTGGATAGGCAACTTTTCCAATCTCTATGCTAGGAATATAAAGAAGGATTACAAGATTTCTCAGTCCCGTTTATCAATCCTCTACAAGATTGTACATAAAAGATGTATTTTCGCTCATGGGCAGCAACGATATTACAGGGTACAGGATTTATGTTTTGTACTTTATGTGCAAAGAAAACCCCAACTTTCCCAATTTTTTGCAGAAAGTATTCTTTCATTGCGTTGGGGGGCATTAAAGTGTGTGAAGTCTCATAATTTCTCCCAACAAAGAAAAAAATTCAATATTTTCATTCTGACAAGAGAGAATGAAATAAGATTTGCATCCCATCCCCAGTCTATAGTTAGTCCTCATAAGTAGTCATAATAGTAAATAATAGTCCACAAGGAGCTTGATTCTTGCCTTGGATCAAAGATGGGGAACAGATGTGTCTCCAGATATTTGACTTCATCTCCCATCATCTCTCTTAGTCATTAGTTATGTGCCCTTGAGCTGATGGGAGTTATTTTATTTACTTGTTTATTTATTTACAACATTTCTACCCCACATTTCTCACCCCGGAGGGGATTC